GGGCGGGGCGTTCGACCCCGCCCGCGCGGGCGGCTCTGGCCTCCGCACCTCCGCGCCTCCACCTCACCTGGCACCTGGCAGGGTCGGAGGGGGTTGGGGCGGATGTGCACGATCCCCTCTCCCACTCTGGCCCAGTGGGACCTTGGCGGAGCCCGAGTGGGGAGGAAGCGGACCAGCTCCTGGATCGGAGGAGCTCCACGCGGCTGACTCAGATGCCCCGGGCGACCTTGGGCGGCGAGGCCAAGGTTTGAGGCGAGCTGCCCAGGAAGGCGGGAGCAAAATCTCCTAGGGTGCTGGCCCGCAAGGCCTCCTGGCTCTGGCCCCGGCGGGAGGCAGCCAGCCCCGTCCTTGCAAGGGCGGGCTGGGGGAGAAAGTGCACGTGGTTCCCTTTGGCCCTACCAGGGCACCGCTCTCCTGTGCCCTTCACCCAAAACACCCTGGCTGGGCACTGGAGGCCTCCCGCAGATGCTCAGGCCTTGTCGGAACCTGCAGTTTTCTGCCTGTCCTGACCAGCAGTTTTGCCAGTGCCCAACGCCTGCCCCACAGGAATCTCAGTCCTGGCCAATTTGGCCTTCACATGACCTTGACCTGGAGGTCAGAGTCCCCCCCCTCCCCGCCATCCCCCAGAGCTGAGCCTTTTACTTTTTTGTTTCAGCTCTGGACCTTTGGTTTCATTTATTCTATGCATTTCCTGGATCCAGGGCTTTCTTCCAAGCCCACAAAAGCCTGGGGCCTCCTGGGCTAGGCGATGGGTAGGGGCAGCAGATAAACAGGGTGGCTGACTCTGGGCCCCCGAGGCAGCTCTGAGGGTGCAGGTGGTGGGGGCCTGCCAGGAGGGGGCAGCCTGTGGGGATCTTTCTGGGCTGAGGCCCTTCCCTAGGGTGGGGGTGGCTTCTGCTGGGGGCACGTTGACATTTTGAGGTTGCTTCCTAGTGATGAAAACGTTCTAGGGCAACCACAGGTGGGTTCTGGGGAGACAGGGGAGCAGGGCCTTGGAGGGCAATTCCTGGGACCCAGGCTGTGTTATAATATTGCCTTGTGATTTCAGCTTTGGTCCTCACGGCTGCCCTACTGCCCAGAGGAGTAAACAAGACATAGGTGTATAGCCACGACTAGTCACCTAGGCAGATAACCTGGGAGCAGAGTGGTCCAGGGTGCCCCCCACCCTCTCACCTGGAGAAGCGTGTCACCTCCCTCTCCTGAGTCCCATTGCTGATGAAATCAGGGTGCATCTGTGCCAGGGTTGGGGCATGCTGGGGAGGGAGATGGGAAAGACTGCGTAGAGCCCTTAACCCCCCCCACCAGGCCTCACCTTCACCCTCAGCCAGTTGGGCACACTGCAGCCTGCTGGGTTAGGAGGGTGCTGACCAGCCTGGCCTGAGGGAGCGCAACCCTCGGCCTGCCTCAGTCCTGTGTGGGTCCTACTGCGTGCCAGGGAGTGGTGAGCAGGCACAGCATGTGCTGGCTGTGCTGGGCCCCCTCCCAGTCCCCGTGGCCTTGAAAAGACCCTGCTGGGAGGCCAAGTGAGTCCCCCCTACCCCCTCTCCTGAACTTTCTCGGGGGGCCACCCTCCAGAGTGGCTCCACGCGCCTTCCTATCCTGATTTTTCCCCTGTAGTGCCTTTTTACTACACGGCATCCCTCACCCCGACTTGCCCACAAGAGAGGGGGTGTCTGGGCCACTGCTGCATCCTCCACGCCTGGTGCGCCTGGTGCGCCGCAGGTGCTCAAAGGTCTGACCCGCTAATTCTGCAGGCTGGGGTTCTGGCCTGCCATGGGGCCGTGCCTCTGAGCCGCTCTTGCTCCCGGTGTGAGACAGAGAGCAGAGATCAGTGCAGGTGACATTCATTGTCGGGAAGAAGATAAAATGACGCCACGTGACCCCCAGATGGTCATGCGTGCAGGTCGGGGAGGTGGCCTAGCAGTTTTACTGAGTCGTGGGCTTTGAGGTCAGGCAGGTGTGCAGGTATGTTCTGGAACTAGCAGCCATTCACCGTGTGTGACTTTGGGCGGGTCACTTCCCTGTCTCGAGCCCAGGGTCCTGGGCTGGAAATGGGTGGGTGGTTTACCGTGGGAGTCAGAGAGGAGACTCAGTGCCAGGATGCCGTGTGGGTGCTGAGCAGGGACACTGGAGTGTGCCTACGGCAGCATCCTTGGGAGCAGGCACAGTGTGGCCTTCATCCACAGGTGCACGCTCGAGCCAGGGCCCTTTCCCCAGAGGGCCTGTGGAGCATCCTATGTAACTAAGTCCCAGTGGGGTAGGGGTTAGGTGGGTGCCTGCCTGCTCGGGCCCCTGCTCAGCCCTGGTCAGGCCACGGCCTTGGTCCCTGTGACCCACAGCCCACGGCTGCAGTTCCCTTTTTGCTTTTCCTTCTGCGGTGTCCAGCCTCCACTTTCCTGGAGTCTGCAGGCTTGTGGGGGTGGGGGTGGCAGGCGAGGGGCTGTCCAAATTGAGGACAAACCTTCATACCTTCTGGTTGATGCAGCTCAGGCCTGGGAGGAGCCCCGCCCCCCTACATTTTCTTCACTGGCCTGGAGCTGGCGGGACCGGTGCCCCTCAAGACACTCCTCTTTATTTTAGTGCCCCTCTCAGCCAAGGAGGACCCCCGAGCGGCGGTGGGGCACCTGAGCCCAGGAAGGCGAGCAGGCCGGCGGGACCGCGAGTGCCTGGCGGAGTGGCACGTGCAGCCCAGGACTCCCGGCTCCCACCTCCTGCTGTAGGTGCGGGCCCCGCTCCCTCCACGGCCCCATCCTGGGCTTTGTGTGTGCAGGGCTAGGCCAGCTGCCGCCGGCAAGCGCAGCCCATCAGTGCCCTGGGCCCCACTGATCGCTGACCAGGACAGGCGCAGTGGCTCCCTGGACATCCCATGCCCACCAGGCTGAGCTCTGGAGCCTGGGGGCCATCGCCTCACTCAGCATTCCCAACCCTCTGTGGGCAAGAGTGTTGCCTCGTCTGGGACCTGCAGGGATGGGCTGGGGTTGAAGTCACAACTTCTCCACTCAGTGCTCTTTGGCCAGACCATCACTTAGGGCTCATCCCCACGGAGCCTGGGGCAGCCAGGAAGAGGGAAGGGCACCGATTGCCTGTTTGTTCTTTGGGTCCTTTCTCCCACACTGGGGACAGTGGTGAGATGGAGAAGCTTCGGCAGGGCGGGGTAGAGAAAATGGCCGAGAACTGTGCCTGGCCAACTGTGGTTGGGTCAGAGTGATCTGGTTGTAGCTTAGATCTGAACATGGGTTGCTGGAGTCCTGGCTGGTCCTGGGGAGGTGGGATGCAGGTGGTAGTAGGGGTGCCCGAGAGACCCTTGGAGGAGTACCTGTGTGCCTTGAGCATGGAACCCTGCTGGGAGTCTGAGGCACAGGGCTGGGGACTGCAGGTGTGAATCGAGCTGCTGGGGGCTTGGGCCTGCAGGAGAGAGGCCTCCTCGGCCAACACTGCAGCACGCAGCTACCTTGAAGGTCAAGGAAGTGCCCAGGCTGGGCCTGGCCTGGGAGTGGTGGGGGTGGCCTGAAGCTGCTCCTGGAGCTTTGCCAGGCATCACCTGGGCTTAGGACAGTTGCTGACTGGCTCCTCCCCCCTCCACAGTCCGGGACCAAGGCTTGTGTTCAATCGGGTGAATGGCCGGCGGCCCCCTGCCACATCTCCATCCCTTGAGGGAACCCAAGAGACCTATACGCTGGCCCATGAGGAGAACGTCCGATTTGTGTCTGAAGGTAGTGTCGAGGCCCAAGGGTGAGGCCTGGGCCCCTGTTCCTCCTCCCCACTGTGACCTGGTTCCAAGCAGCTAGAAGGCTGGGTTCTTCCTAGGCTGTCTCCCTGTTGGTCCTGTGACTGTCCAGTGGGCTGCCTACTCCCCTTCTTAGCTGGGGTCCTGGGTGGGAAACAGGAGGCCAGGGGCCTGGCTTAGCCCTACTGCCCTCCCCCCACAGCTTGGCAGCAAGTGGAACAGCAGCTGGGTAGTGGCCCAACTGGCGATAGTGGGCCCAGACCTGTGCAGTACGTGGAGAAGACCCCCAGCCCCCGGCTGCAGAGTGAGCCCCCCCTGCTCTCAGGGAGTCCCCTCCACTCCCTCCAACCCTGACCTGGACCCTGCTGCGTTCTAGCCCTAGGGGATTGGGGAGGGCGCTTGAACTTGACCTGCTTCTTCCCAGTGCTTGCTACATTTGGGTCTGGGGGAGGGGCTTGTGGTCAGCTCAAAGGGACAGACACTGACTGATCTGGGAGGCAGCATCACTGCCGGGCCTTCTACTCTGCCCACAGACTTTGTGCCCATTGACCTGGACGAGTGGTGGGCACAGCAGTTCCTGGCCAGAATCACTAACTGCTCCTAGCTGCCTTGGAAGGAATGCTGCCCCAGGGCCCAGCCCTGCCCCCTGCCAGGAGAGGACCACGGAGCCCTATTTAGCTGCCGAGGCAGGCCATCCTTCACCCTGAGTCTGGCCAGGAGCCGGCCACACCTGAAGTGCCAGCATTTGGACTCTTGCACCTGCTGACCCCTTGGACCAGCTGTCCTATGCTGCCAGGGGCCAGAAGCTGAATCTGTCTGACCTCAATCCTGCTCACTGTGCCCAGGGACCAGCCCCTGGGGCTGGCAGGGAGGAGCTCCACACTAATAAAGTTGAGAAACTGCCCTTTTCGAGTGGCCTTTATTTGGTATGTGGGGGGTGGGGTCAGGGTCCTCACATACTAGGTCCAGCCTTTCCTTGGCCCCATAGCTGCAGCTCTGCCCAATTCTGGCCTTCCTGTGTCCTGATGGAGGTGCTGGGGCCCTCTCTGGGCCAGCTCATCTTTCTTGGATGTCGCTGGACCTTACCCGGCACCACCCAGCTTTCTCTCCCTGTTGGCAAGTGCTTGAGCCCCATCTCACGATACACAAATGTTATCAACTGGCCGGGGGATCGAGTCCCAGAGGTCCAGGATTGGGGCCAGATCTCAGGAGGCTTAGTCCTGTGTCTTAACCCCCCAGACCGAGTTGCCCTGTGGGACACTGCTTTGCCTCCTGGGTGGGTGGCATTGCCTGCGAAGTGGAGTGGAGTACCCCAGGTGTGGACGCTAGAGGGCTGGAGGTAGTAGAGTGGAGCCCAGTGGGCTGGCAGTGAGTGTGACAAGCGCATTCCCATACATAGGGGTGCGTGTCCTTCCCGATATACAGGTGGGCCCCAGAAAGTCAGGCACCTCCCTGGTTCCCGCTGTAGCTTTGCTAGGGCATCGCCATAGGGTCCGGGCTTGGGAGTGGCCGCAGAGGCCCGGGCCGCGACGGCTCTCAGGGTGCCCGAGAGGCCGCCCACCGCGAGCCCGGCGAACCTTCAACCCCGACCGCGGTCACGCGACCCGGCTCTGGTCGCCCCGCGGTCACGTGGCCAACGCCGCGCCGTCGTGCGCCCGCCCCACCCCTCAGGTCACGTGGCCTCGCCCGCGTGACCGCAGTAGTGGCGCTGTTGCCAGGCGGCCGTTGCTAAGCGCGCGCTGCGTGCCCTGCGTGGAGCGCGCGGCGGCAGAGGCGGGAAGTGCGTGCGGCGACGCCATGGCGAAAGGTACCAGCGCGCGGGAGGCCGGGGCCGGGGCCGGGGTCTGGGGGGCGGTCAGCGCGGGGGGCGGGGGGGCCCAGTGGGACCGGGGCTGGCGCGCAGTAATGGCTGTCACCGCGGGGGGCGGTGGCGTAGCACAGACCCAGCCTTTGGCCCCTCCCTGGAAGGTCTGGAGGCTCACAGCGGGATGCCCCCCCTCACGGGCGGGGATCTGGCATCTGGGGACGCACCTTCATGCCCATGGGGGTCCTCACACCATCATGGCTCCCCAGTGTGGCAGCACCCGTTCCTCAACGTCTTTAGACACTTCAAGGTGGGCGAGTGGAAGCGGTCCACTAAAGAAGGCGATGTGGCTCCTGTCACTGTAAGTGGGCGCGGGGACTTGGCAGCAGCGGTAGAGACCCCTTCTGTCCTCCTGAGAAACCTGTCAGAACCACCCCAGGGTCATGCCGATGGTGCCCTTCTCGGCGTCCCTCGGTGGACAGTGCTGCCTCCTCTCTTTCTCTTTAGGATAAGACTCTGAGATGCACTGTGTATCGCGTCCGGGGTTCTGTCTCTGCTGGCAATTACATCCAGCTCCCCAAAACCAGTACCCAGTCTTTGGGGCTGACTGGCCGGTACCTGTACGTGCTCTTCAGGCCCCTGCCAGCCAAGCACTTCGTCATTCACCTGGATGTGGCCACCGAGGTGCCGAGCTTGGGAGTGGGGGTTGGGGGTGGTGGTGCTGCATTTCTGTAGTCCTTCTTGTCTGTTTATGGTCATGCTGTGCCTTGCAGGACAGCCAGGTCATCCGTGTGTCCTTCTCCAACCTCTTCAAGGAGTTCAAGTCCACGGCCACGTGGCTGCAATTTCCCTTCATCTGTGAGGCTGGGTTATCTGTAAAAGGTGATGTGGAAACGGGACACGAACGGGCTGCGGTAGTCCAGGAGAGGCAGCCTGAGAGCAGAGAGGGAGGTGGGCAGTCCCAGGCGTAAGGACAGGTGGTGCTGGGGGGACGTTGTGGTTGGGGCAGGCCAAGTACAGAGTGCCCTGGGCTGGCTGGTGAGACCGTAGGCACTGATCTTGGCTCGCGTTCTTCAGAGCTGGCCAGTGTTGCCCTATCTGGTGCCCGTTGGACATGCCTACAGCTTGATTTGCATGACATTCTCCTGGTGTACCTAAACCGGCGCTACGGTCACCTCAAGAGCGTCAAGCTGTGCGCGAGTCTGCTCGTGAAGAGCCTTTACACCAGCGACCTGTGCTTTGACCCCGGTGAGTGCTGTACTTACGTCCTATGCTCATCCTGCAGCCTGCCTGCTCCAGCGCTCTCCCCCAATCCCTGAGTTCTCAGCAGGAGGGGCTGACATCCCAGCCCGTGATGGAAACGCCTGTGCTGTGCCATCTTGGAGCCCCCCCAGCTCCTGAGGCACCTGTGGGGGGCAGGGGCTGGTGGTGGCTGGGCTGGTGGCACCTGGTGTTGAGACTCGCCTGGGCTGGAAGAGGGAGCTGGATGGGCTTCCTTCCCTGGACCAGCTCTGCTCTTTGTAGCTGTTACTATGGCTGAGGCTCAGCGGGCAAAGCTGCCTGTCACACCTGTACCTCGAGAAATGGCATTCCCAGTGCCAAAGGGGGAGAGCTGGTATGACCACTATGTCCACATCCGGTGAGCGGCTCTGCCAATCCTGCGGGAGGTCAGTGAAGGGAGGTCGGGGTGGTCCCTGGACACTAAGTTTCTCTCTGCCCTGTCGAGGTTTCCAAGCGACAGCTCAAAAGCATCTCCTGAGCCGGTTGGGAAGAGCTGTTCCCCTCCTGAGGCAGGTGGGCCTGTGGAGTCACCAGAGATGTAGGCTCAGGCCTACAGGGATGTGGAGTTTCACGGGAGGGGCTGTTGATACTGTATGGGGGTGGCAAACCTGGCAGGGAGGTGCCCACAGGGGCCAGGGCTAGCCTCAAGGCTGTCCTGAGATGCCAGGATCACGTGGGAAGTTGTGTAGGGTGCCTGGTGTTCTCAAACTTTCCAACTAGGAGGGCATGCTGGGGCCCGGGGCAGAAGGGTGGGCTGAGCTGTTGCTGTGGCTTTGGAGGAGTGGGCAAGGCACTGAGACCATGCTCTCCGCAGGCCTCTCTGTGCTCTGTTCAGTGGCTTCTATGGCCTTTGACTCCATTCCAGATTTCCTGGGGCGCATGCTGCAGGTTCTCCCTCACCCAGTGGCTTTCAGCAATCCCTTCCAAGACACTCTGCCCTCCATGGTCCAGATGTTTGGCCCCACAGCCGTGAGTGCTTCTCTGTCCTTAGAGATGGGGCTGGAGAGTGGTGGCCTCAGGGTCCTGACAGGCACTTATGCCCCTGCAGTCTTGCCAGGCCCCCTCAGTGCCCAGGCCCCTTCCAGAGGTCAGCTTGTTCTGTGAGCGCTCGGAGGTCCCCAGTACGAATGGCCCCAGTGACCGTAGCCAAGAGTGCTCAACCGGGCCAGAGGTCACTGACAAGCATGCGGCTGGCAACGGTGTTCACGTGTCCGCTCCTAAGCCAACCATGGTGCCCGTGGCGCTGGAGGATGTGGCCGTGCACGAGGTCAGTGCCTACCCCCAGGAAGGTGAGGGGTAAACCATTTCACTGAGGTGGGTAGAGCCTTGGTGAGGTGTGGGTAAGGGCTGCTGGGTCTCTGAAACCTTTTGTCATCTAGCTTTCTGACAGAAAGCAGAATGGGCAGGAGATGGCTCTGGACAAGAATCTCTTCCAGCCAAGGGTAAGGAGGCACCAGGTGATCTGTGGAGGCCTTGGACTGCAGGCAGGGGCAGGAGCTGGGGTCCCCAAAGGGTCTGGCACTGTGGCCAGATCATGGCTTCCTGACACAGGGCAGCCGGCAGAAACCACCTGGGACTGCATTGCTTTCTTGGGAGGGAGAAACTAGCCTGGGCTGGTGCAGTCCCAGGGGGATGGGAGCCTCACCTCCTGGGGTCTCACTGTGAGTTTGCCTGTTTCAGAGCTTTCTCCCGGATCCGATCCTGAGGCTCAAGGGAGTCATTGGCTTTGGGGGCCACAGTACCAAATGGGTGAGGGATCCAGTATTCTTACTGGGCCGTGTGGGTGTCAGTTACGCAGAGGGGGCAGTGGGAAAAGCCCGTGTCTCCCTAAGGTGGCTATGTGGACATCTAAGCTTCCTCAGGGTGTGGAGCCCTCCCCCCCCGCCCCCACACCGTGGATGCCTGGTTCTGCCTGTGTCTGCACATGACTCAGCATTCGTTCAGCAGAAGCGTGGACTTCCCAACCCGGCGTCCCTTTTTTCTGCCGCATGTGCAGGCCACGTTAGCATGGCCCGGGTGCTTGAGCTTCCCTAGACCTGAGAGCTCTCACGTGTTCCATGAGGCTTTGATGCTTGTCTGGTGTGTGGGGCTGGTGTGGGCGCTAGTTTTGGGTCTGTGGCCCTGTGCTTGCCAGGTCCTTCTAGACACGGACTGAGTGTCTGTAGGTCCTGGTATTTTGTTACTTGAACTCAGTTTCTAGTATTGCAGACAGGGTTTGGAGGAGGTCTTGCGTGTGCATCTGTGTGTGTGTGCGCGCGTGCTCCTGACACGGCGGGGGATGTGCTGGGGTTGGGGAGAGCAGAGCCCAAGCAGCCTGTGATGTCCACATCTGGCCCCTGTGCACAGGCCCTGTGGACTAAGGACGGGGCTGCTGTGGTGTATCCCTGCCACGCGGTCATCGTCGTCCTGCACATTGACACCCGCGAGCAGCGCTTCTTTCTCGGCCACACGGACAAGGTGGGCGCCACCCGCCCGACCCAGGGGAGGCTTGTGCCTGCGGGCACAGTGCTGTCCCCTCAACCTACCACCTCCTCCAGGTTTCTGCCCTGGCGCTGGATGGGAGCAGCTTGCTGCTGGCCTCGGCCCAGGCCCGACCCCCAAGCATGCTGCGCCTCTGGGACTTCCACACCGGGGAGTGCCTGTCCCTGTTCCGGAGCCCGGCCCATGTCCTCTGTTCCCTTAGGTAGGCGTGGGACCTCTGAGAGGGGTGGGGGCCCAGCCCCCGCCACGCTGACTGCTTTCTTTCCATCCGCAGCTTTTCCAACAGTGGGGCGCTGCTCTGCGGTGTCGGCAAGGACCGCCACGGGAGGACGGTACCG